GACTGTTTTTCTGCTGTGTCCATGGGCATCTGATAAATATCCCTTTCTCCCCTCTCAAAATACATGCCTATTTAATTGTGTAAAACAATTCTAGTTTTATTAATAGACTGATACCTTCTAGTAAATATGGTTTAAGAAGAAGGAACAAATCAGATTTTGTATCACAAAGCAAGACAACATTGGTTGGGCTTCAAACTTAGGTGTACTCACAGATACAAGTTGAGATGATAACCTTGGAGAAATTTTATCAATGATCTTATCCTTTTAACATTTTCTGAAAGAGTCTATTCTATTAGTTTCCTGCTGAGACAGGCTGTGTTGCCTGAGGAAAGTTTTGTAAATCAGATCTCTGTCTAGCATAGATTTCTCATACAAAGGTCAGTGGTTCTTGTTTGACTGTTTGGTCCAAAGATGCATTCTCTATTATACAATTAGTATAAAGCACAGTATTTCCAGTCAGTAGATGTTATTCAAAGCCTCATAATGATGGGAATTTAAAATCTTTTAAATGGAACGCAGTTTGAAATAGAGATTACTATACTTTGGATCCAGCCTGCCTCCATTTGTATCCTGGCTTTGCTGTTTACAGGCTTATGATCATGGGCAATTGCGTTGAACTTTGTCTTAGTGTCTTAATCTGTTAAATAGATATAATGATAATAGTACTTCATGAGGTTGCTGTGAGGATTAGATATGAGTACTTGGAGTACTCATAACAGTTCCTGGCACATGGTAAGCATTATATAAACATTCATTGTTGCTCTTATTTTCAATGGCAGTGTCTATATTTGGACCTGGTGACTTGGGACCAGAAGTTTCAAGTGCCGTTTTTCTGTGACTAAGTTAACTATTGCTGACCTTACTGTTAGTTTTCTCTGTCTGGTTTCAAAGGGCATTAGTTCTTGTCCCTCTCATGATGCCCATATATGCTTATGTTGTAATTGGAGTCCATAGTAAATCAGTATTCCCAATGTTTTTATTTTGTATTAATCAGCTCTTTGGAACTGCATTAGTTTAATATATTGGATATGCTGAAAATATATGTGCATTTTAAATATTCATATGCCACATAAAGATAAGAATTTTTTTTCCATAAACTTTTATTTGGTAAATTCATTTTTCTCTGAAAAATTTTTAACAGTGTATTACTCCGTTTCAGGGTATAATGCCAGAGTTATGTTTGAACTGAAACATGGAAATTCTTTCCCTTACCCTTTTTTCTACTTTTGTGAAGAGAACTGTGGTTTTAAAGAAGCAACCTGTCTCTAACCAGATTATGTGATCTTGGGTAATAGCCCAAAGAAAAATTATCTGATATTTCATTTTTCTTTAAGCTTAAAGATTTCATATATCATAAATCACTTTAAATTAATAAAATTCTTCTTATGTGGCTTATTAAATTGCTCTCATTTCTTTGTGGTACTTTATTTGCAAACCAAACTTCTAAAATATCTAGTTTATTTTCCTTTAACTTATATATTCTCAAAATGTTCCAGTTAAATAATATATGATGATAGCACTGTCTTCAGAGGTGTGTAAAAATCTCACCCAGAATAACACTCAGAGTCTTTGCCATGTCCTAGAAGGCTCTCTCCGTCATTGACTCTTTCTCTGTCTGACCTCATCTTCTGCCGTTCTCCCGCTTTCTCCAGTCTAATCTCACTGGCCTCCCCATTGCTCTGTGAAGATGCCCAGCACGTTCCCACTTAGGACTTCTGAATGCCTTGTTTAATTTACCTGGAATGCTCTTCTTCCCAAATCCAGGAGTTTGCTTTCTCCCTTCAGTTAGGTTTCAGTTCATATGTCACCACATTAGAGTTCTTCTGTAATCCTCTTATCTAAAATAGCCCCACCCCCACCATTCCCCCTTCAGGTTTCTTGATAGACCTAATCTCTGACTGACATGTTGATGTTCCTTGTTTATTGCTTGCTTTTCCACTAACACGTAAGCTCTGTAGAAACAGGGACTTTGTTCTGTTTAGTGCTGTGTCCCTGTTGCCTCATAGGAATTTCGATTCCGTATAGCAAGCACTCAAAATTTTTGTTGAATTAAGAAAATAAATTATTATAATATTTCAGTTGCATAATTGTCTTGGGCTTTAAAGCACTTAGATATTACCTTTAGATATATTTTGAAAATAGGTCTGAATTATAGTCCAGTCATAATATCCCTTTAGCCACCAGGATAGAAGAAATCTCAGTACATGAGAATAGAGAAAAGATAGAATTGATCTGATTTAAGAATAAAGAATATTTGATTTATGAGAGAAAAATGCTTACAGATTATCTAGCATAGAGTTCTTATTTTAAAGATTGGAAAACTGAGACCTGGTTATATTAGCAGGTGTGCCAGAGGTCACATGGCTTGTTGGTAGCAAAGCCCTAATTTTTAGTCTATAACGTACTTGTTATGATTTTATACAATTTACAAATGAATGTGTTAAATTTTCTAGTAAATTTGTTTTATTCCATTTACTTGCAACTTTGCTATCTTTTCTAAAAGAATATCCCATAATAGTATTTTCTCATTTTTTTTAAAGTTACACAACTCTTGCATGCTACTAGGTGAATATAGGGGGTCATCACTGGGATGCTTCTGTCTTCTTTGGAAATATCCATTTTGGAGTCTCATGGTTAACAGAACAAATACTTGCCAAAGCAGATTTCTTATAATTCCACTTAAACGTGACATGTTTGCTGTATTACCTTTAGTAATTCATTCTGGTTGCTTAGTTCCAGAGCTGTAGTTGGGGAGGAGTTTTACATTTTTTCCTCTCCTTGTCACCTATCTCCCACATCCAGAAAGTTGCCAAGTCCTATAGAGCTTCTTTCTCTCCTGGTAGATCTTTATTAGCAGGCACAACCCTCTGCCAGATGCTGGCCATTGCAGAAATGTTGTGACTGTGCATATAATTACAGAAATCATTCTCTAGGAAATTAGTCAAATTCATCAGATAATGTTGAATTTTCTTAGTGAATAACTCATAAAACTTCATTTAAGGATGCCCAGCAAGGAGGTAGGGGAAGTATTTACATAGCGTTTAGTACAGAGCTTTGGACTTTGGGTATGCCCAGTGAAATAAATTGCCCAGTAAAAAAAATGCCCAGTGAAATAAAGTGAGTTATTCAACATAACACCTCACTTTAAGAATGTATCTTTTTCTCTTGCTACAGTTTTTATTTACTCAGTAACAACAACAAAAAAGAACACTTTTTCTTTTTTTTGTTGTTTTTAAAGCTTTAAATGAGCTGTTTAAAAAGTCATCTGTGTGCAGATTGAGAAATTGAGTAATTAGCTGCTTTTCAAAGCTACATAAGCTCTTTTACCCCATCAGATTAAAAAAAAAAAGGGGGGGGGGAGTGGGTGGAAAGAGTTAATACAGCTTTAAAGAGGCCTAATTTACAACTAAGGAGTACCTGAGAGCTCTTGGAGAATTTGACACAATGAGTTAGATCAACCCCATTTTCATTTCCCCCAGCTGCTGTTTGTAACATAAATAAATCCATGATCTATAGTTGTTAAGTAGAAGTATTTGAATGCCTCCTAGTGGCATTTTGTAGGCTGTAATTAAAGAATTTAAAAAGTAATATTTATTGAGGAAATACTATGATAACCTATTAAAGCTTGTAAGTTAGTAAAATCCTTTAATGGTAACCTCCTAAGTGAAGTCAAAATACATTGTTTGCCATATAAAACTGATTAAAAACCTGACTGGAAAAATATGAATCATATGGCAAAGTTGAATATACTTTGAATAAAAATTTTGGTTTTTGTTCAAACTGAATTATTTTAACTGACTTTTTATGTAATGTATAACTATTTTGCATTTAAACATAGACAAATGTGGCTATTAATAGGATTTGGATTGCTTTGTATACATTTATTTTTTAAAATTGTGATTATCGTGTAGTTTATTTCAGTTTCTTTGTATAATAATAGAGATAATGGTTTATAGAAAGTCTGGTTCATTTTCAGATTTTTTTAAAAAAATTCTGATCTTCATGTTGAATAAAATTACTTAATTGATAATCTTGAAATACGGACTATAGCAAAACTTTAAAATGATTAAGAATGATGATTTAATTGTTGCTTTATACATAAAAATGGCTTTACATCTACAGAAATATAATTGAAAATGGAAAGAAAGTCACATTAAAAAAAATTCTGATGAGGGTCAGAAGAAGGGAGAAAAAGTGATATCCTTTTCTTAAGCACTAAAAAATGTTTAATTAACTGCTTACCAAAACAAAACAATTAAAATGGCGGTTACCTTTAAAATAGCAACAATGTAATTACAGCTGTTGTGATATAAAGCTAGGAAACAAAATGTTAATCTGGAATGAACAGTTTAAATATGAAATTATGATATACTTGGCTTCCTGTAGTACAGCTGTCAAGCTTGGGCAGTTCGCTGGTCAATAGTGACATTCTATGTGTCAGTGAACAGAGTCTCTTGATACCATAACCCGCAGTTCACACATTACTGAAGCTCCAACTGTCGAACATTCAAGTCCCCTGATATTATTGCAGCTTCCAGACTCTCCTGACTGGCTCATGTTTCATTCTTTGGCAATTTGCCCTAATGATATCCCTTAGGAGCTTTCAGCCTCTCTTCCTTTCCATATTTAATCATGTTATGTTAATCTGAATGATGCACAAACTATGCTGTACAAATTGTAATTTCCTACAGTTTTTCTCAGATATTCACCTAAGTTTTCAGTTTTACTTATGTTCTAAGTTTTCAATCCCAAGCTCTGTATTTTCAGATGATTATAACTATCTACATGATTCCTAAGAAGCTACTTTTGCTGTTCATATATGCTTCAGAGGGGCCTCTGAGACATAAGACTTTTAACATGTAGAATTGCTAAAGACAATGTGATTTATGTCATTATGTAAATTGTTCTGTGATTACCATTCATCACTGATACATTGAACATTCCTTTTTGTTTGGAGGGTCAGCAGCGACTTATTTTTATTATCCTTTTACACATTTTAGTTAACTGCCTGTATCCATGGATCAGCTGCTCTCCTATACCCAATGTACTGGCAACACATATACATCCCAGTGCTTCCTCCACACCTGCTGGACTACTGCTGGTAAGCTGGCTTTTGCCAGGCTCCTTTACATTTAGGTTTCATGATTAGAAATCTGTTTCTTTGTTAATTAGGTAAATTTGGGGATATATTTAAAAGAAATCATGGAAACTTATATATTAATAAATAGTAAAGAGGACTTTTATGAAGGACGGAATAATTCTGTAGAAAGGTACCACAAATTTATACTTAGCAAACATGAAGTTCTTTAGGTTTTGTGAATTTCTTCTGCAGTCATTTAGATAACTCAATGCAAAATAGAAGAAAAGAACAGTTTCAAGTTGTGTTTAGGAAAACTGTACAGAAGTTATGCTACCAGTTAGAGAACCCAATATCCTCGTGTCAGAATTTGTCTGGCAAGTCTGCTAGATACCACATTGTCTCTGTCAGGGGACATTCTTGTTACCTTTACTTCACAACACACTTCTTCACCCCTCTTTTTTTCCCCGTAATGGCACACCAAATACCAAGAACTGACAAACGGTTTGTCTCTAACACAAGAATTCTTGTTTTGGATTTAAGTCAAAGTCTCACCCTTGAGCTACCATGAAAAGCAGTGCTGAAAAGTATTTGGAGCAATTCTGAAAAGCTTCCTAGTGTTAGACACAATTCCCAAGACCCACCCAATAACCAGGCCTCTAGAACCTCCTTGTTCTCTTTGCCTGGAAGAGTCTGCATACTTACGAGGCTAAACAAGGATTAGACTCCTAAATGGCAGCTTCTGGGCCTTCCTCGAGACTAGGGGGAAAATATGTTATCTTCATTGCATAATCATCTTCTGCAGGTGTAGCCTAATTCTTAAGAAATGTGATGGAATTTTTCCTCTAAACCATTGTGCACACACATAGAAGGAAACAATTTAGACCTTAATGTGTTTGCTTGTATAATAGCTAATGTTACTAAAACACAGCACTTTTAGAATCAGTGCATTCATTTAACTTTCTTATTTCATAAAAGACAGAAAATATTAAGGATTAAAAATGATTTCAGTTCATACATAGAGGGTTTCTTTTAATTTTTTATGACTAACCCTCTTCAGAACAAGTGATTGTAGTGGCAACACATGTACTTGGCCACATATTGATTGTATTAGTATATTGATGTGTTTCCACAGCTTGGTAGTATTATTAGTACTGATAACGCTGTGAAGTAGGTGCCCACTGACCTACCACTGCTGTTACGCTATTTGAGAACTAGAAAGGAGAAACAGTTTGTCAGGAAACTATGGGAATATAGTTTATATTGTTAAGTGTCACACACACAAGTCTAAGAATAAAGTTAAATCTGTAAGTAGGCCCTCTGTCATTCATTTTAGAGTTTTTCTTTGACCAACATACCTACAAGATTTTGGCATTCCTTAGAGGGAGGGTATCTCATATATTTGTGTTGACATATGCAATAGATCTTTGTATATACTATTCAGTAATTAAACTTTATTTAAAAATATATTTTACAGCAGTATTTGGAAATAATATAAGATTTTACATAATGTATCTTTAGAATTACATTATATATATATATATATATATATATATATATATTAGTACCATCTTAATTTTCCTATTAAAATAACCTCTTAAGAGGTAAAGCATGTTTAATTAAGCTCAATGATCTGTAATGAATTATACATTTAAGACTTCTAACAGTGTTATTTAGGAACTATCCTGTGACACAGGCAATTCTGTACTAATTTTTTCGAGAGCTTTTCTGATAGTTTCTACCCCTCCCATCATATTCAGTGAGGGAAGCTTGTTTCTTATTTCAGGCCCTGGAATTTTCTTTCTGGTTTCTAATGTCTGAAATAGCCTTTGGGTTGAGTTCTAACAGTTTCCATGCCAAAAACCTCCCTGCTTCAAAGAGTAAATCAGTAATATTCAAACAAGAAGTTCTCTGAAACTTCCTGCAGCTTACGGTCACAAAGGCAGGCTCAGCTTCCATCATAGGAACTGAGTAGTAGAATTATTTTTTAAAGAATAGCCATCTAAAACTCTGGCTCTCTTCTGTTGTCGGAAAACTTGGTAAACTAAGCTGTGTCCTAGGGTAAATGGTTTTCTTCCATTTCCATCCTTGAGGTTAAAATCATACTGATCTACTTGTAAAAGGCAAAAAAATTACAAGATCATCCCTTCAATCTCATAGAACTTGATTAAATAATTTTTATATTCCAGTTCAAAAATAGTATCATGAAGATTTGATAAGAAAAGATACTTGCTAGCTCTTTGGCGTGATTGGAACTTTCTGAATCCTGAGGTAATCCTACCTCCATGAAGTATTTCTGTTTTTGCAACTGGTAGCTCTGCTGTGGATTGAACTGTGGAGAGCCATAATGCCATCTTGTGACCATGCATGAATATCGCATCTTGGTCCATCAATAAAGCATTGCTACTTTGTTGATTCATTCATCCATTCATTTGTTCATTAAACGTTTAACGACCATCTATTAATATTTGACAAGCTGTGACTATGCAGTGTAATGAATAAGACTTAGTTTCTGTCCTTGTAGGATTCACAGAGAGCAAGAAATACACACATACTTAGATGTGCACACATGCACACACACATAGCACAGTGTAATACTGCAATACTGTGAGTATTACAGCATAGGCATACAAAAGACTATGGATGGCAACACATAGGAAGAAGTAGCCTACACTCTCCTGTAGGTTAGGGAAGGCCCCTGAGAGGAAATGACACCATCTACATTTTCCCCTAATCAGCCAATGTAAGAGGACTTTGATGTGGCAAGTCTCTGATGTTGCAAGGCACTATTAACCTATCTGAGTCGATAAACACATAGCAGGTAGTGTGACTCTAGGACTAGTGAAATTATAATTATCTATTATTTGTTCATGGAGTGGCTGAGTCACTTTTTAGGCTTTATGACTTTTTTATGAAAGGAGCAGATTTAGCTTCTAAGAGATAGGTTTTTTAAAAAAACAAATGGTAAATTATATTCTTTAGACTACCCCCAATAGGCCGCTCTTATAGTCTATGTCATAAATGGTCTCTTTGTAAGAAAACCTGAAAAGAAAAAAAAAAAAAAAAAAGCTATTCTTAAGTACAGATGAATTGCTGCTAAAAAGAAGCAGCAATCATAATGGAGGCATCTGTATTCCATCTTTGCAAAATAACTTCATTGACAGAAAGGATATAGGACAGTTTTGCACATAGAGGACAAAACATCTATGTTGCCAAGAATCTCTTCTTGAATTCTTGAATTGTTAATGCTCTAATCTAATTAGGAAATTTAAACTAGGGTTGCAAAGTTACTTTTCATGAGATTTTGGTGATTTCATAGTAGGATGTACACAATCCAGTTTTGTGAGAAAGAAACAACTATTCACTCTATATTCTGCAAAGTGTAATTATTTTAGGAAATTAGTCACTAGATTAATAATGTTTACAGTTCTAACATCTGTATGTTTCAGATTTTGTGAGAAATTGTTAAGAAGAGAACATGGGGAGATAACCAGTGATCCCATTTTAAAAGTTTCAAGTTACTATATGATTAAATTTTGCATACAAGCTTTTTAATTGATATTTTTATGCCAGCTTAACAATTTTTATAAATGTGTTTTTTATACTTTTAAAGAGAAGTAATATCTTTCATAAAGTTTAAAAAATGTTTTCCTACATGTATTTGCTAGTATTTTGGTAGATTATTTAGCAGACTGCTTCTGATTTTATGAAACTCTGACCTACCCATTTATCCCACAAACATTTGTAAAATTGACTTAGTAATTATTGTTTTTAGAAGCCTTAACTGTTTTAAAACTCTTTTCCTAAAATGTGCTTTGAAATTTCAGGGAGCATGGGCTTTTCTGTATTCTAAATCTTGTGAGTAGGATAACCTAACGTGAGGCGAATTGGAAGTTTACACAATGACTTCAATAATTTTATGCTATTTTTGGGGGGCAGGGCTTGACATATTTAAGGTCAAGGGAGTTGCCTAACTTGATTTTGTAAAAGTTATCGAAACCTGGTTGTGGACTTATAGTTGTTAGTGATATGCATTTTATGTCTTCTTTTCTGGAGTCCCAGAAGGAATTCCAGGGGTAAGAACCTGAACTAGGGAAATAGTGGAACAGGACACATTCGTTCCTTCTGTTTCCTTTTGAAAGTAGAAAATCTGTTAGGTCTTAAGGATATCAAGACCTGTAAATAGTTCTCAACATTCAGCCAAGTGAAATACCCAGAGTATCAGATCAATTCCATATGGTCTCTTGCATTCAAATTAAAAAATAAAAAAATAGGAAGGGGCAAAGCTACAAAGGGCAAAGACAACTGGGAATTAGAATCTAGTACAATAATAAGTAATGAACTAGAATATACAGGCTAACGAGGAGTAAAATAAGAACTTTAACACTTAGTTTGTAAATTCTGGATATATAGATTAGTGGTTAGCTATCTTTAAATAAATCTGGAACTTTTTAAGGTTACTTTGAAATCTCTGGGTCTGTCAGGGTGCCTATGTAATCTATTGATGGTTCTCAGTAGCAAAGAGAACACAGAAATTTGGACAGCTCTGTTCTAATAATGACAATGATGTCTAGAAAATTATGCAAATCCTTTGAGAAAGAGGATTGTCTGTTTGCATTAACAAAAAAGGTGTATGATAATAGAGCACAAAGATGTCTATAAAAGAATTGCCAAAAATGTTTTATTTTAAAATATTTATTAACATATCTGCCATTGCCTTCATAGATATCTGTCAATTCTCATGTTTTTCTATTAGATAATATTTTAGGTTTGAAATGTCAAGTTGAATTAATTTTCTTCTTGTATTTCATGAGTTGTTTCTGAAATAACAGCAATTCTTATTTTATGTATTAAATTTGATTTTTATACATAATTTAAAATATTAATTTTTTTGCAAGAGTATAAAATCCATAGGGAATATATTCTGTTTATATTGTCTGTTATTGTTCCCAAGTTTCTACCCTAAGGCCTGGCACCTGCTGTACTACAAATATCATGTGTTGAATTAATTAATTCAAGATTATTCTCTTGAGTATTTTTAATTTTATTAAAATTATTAATGAAAGTGAAAGTTGGATAAATATGAATTTATAAAATTAAATAAGTAAAAGACAATATACATGAGGGGAAAGATAGCATAGTAGGTGAGGAAATTGATTACTTGTGTACATCCAGTTCCAGAACAGTGCCTGACAAACAGTAAGTCTTAATAAATATTTGTAGACTGACTGACCCAAATATTTGGTGACATAGGAGGTATAAATCAGTGAAGATATATATTAACAGTATCATAGAAAGAAGAATTTAATTGAATCAAGAAAAAGATGTGCTAAAGGAATGTAAATAAATTTGATGATTATTTAGGATATATTTGCTATGAGGTGTATGGAAAAGATTCAATTCAGATTATGGCCTAGACCTTGATATTCTTTTTAAGTTAAAAAAAACAACGAACAAACTTTTTAGGCATTACAACTCTTGATTAAATTATAAATGATTTTATGATTTTTATAAAAAGCAACCTTAATTGTAAATATATTAGTGGACTCCAAGATTAAATTTGAGCTTTTTATATTGAATAATTTTGAATATCTATAATGTGTTATGCTGGAACTGAGCATTTAATACATTTAATTTTTAATCATTTTGAATTACTTATACTGTTGTTTCAGTTTTAATGAACTATATGAATCTATGCATATATATATTTTTAATTTAGTGCCCCAATGCCATACCTGATTGGAATACACTCCAGCCTCATAGAGGTGAGTATCTTTCAGACATGAGATAGTGATAAAATTAACTCATAATATAATAGTTAAAACAGTTTTGTTTTGAAGGAATATCAATGGAATAGGACAAAGAAGTGACTAGTTTCATATTTACAGTATGCATATCATTTTTAAAAAGACAACATTGAAATAATTTCATTTAAATTAATATAATAAATGGCCATTATCAATAGCATGAATTCCATAAAAGTAGTTTCTGTTTGGTAGAAGCCATATGGTGAGTTTTAATTACTAAAACTTCAGTCCTTGATCAAATGCCTTTTTTTAAAATGGCAACTTGTGATCATTTATATCTCTTTTTCAGACCTACATTTTGAAAGTCAAAATTTATATACTTAAGAGTCATGAAGTACAATTTTTTGTTTTGCAGACTTCATTATGTTCCTACTTATCAATATATATCTTTTTAAATGTGGCTTTAACATATTAATCATGGAATTTAGAATATAGCCTTAAGTTTTAATTTTCAGTTCTGTTGGGGGATATAATATTTAGTAATTTTTTTTCCACTATTACTACATCATTTTAAAATGATTTTTGTCACTTAACTCATTCCTATACCGAAAGACCTTGAACTATAAACACCTTGAACTTGAAATCAGTGAGATTTCCAGGAAGGTCTTCTTATAGGATTACCATCTAACAAAATAAGCAAAAGGCTCGAATTAAAACAAAAACTTGAGTCAATTGAATGGTATAATTATGCTGGATGATTTCAACTTTATTTGGATAAGTTTATCTTTTTTTTTGCTGGTTGTACGGATTTTACTTTAACCCAGTTTCTACTGAGTAACCTAAATGAGTTAGCTTTGGTTTTCTTCTTAGTTGCCATCACTGTATACACTACATCAGTCCTTACTTTGATCAAAGATGAGTCTGTTGATGTATTTTAAAACTCCTGAGAATCATTGAGAGAGAGAGTAATGCCCTTTTAGGAGGCCCAGGTTATGGAATCCGACTTGTCCTCTAGCTTTGTCCTTTTTTTCTCATCACAAAATACCAGGGCAACATTTTGTATTTTGTTTCACCAATACCAAAAAAGTATTTAAATGAGTATCTTTAATAAGTTTGTTTGTAATACTGAAGTCTGAGTTGGATAACTTTATGACTCCTTATTTTTTATTCATTTTTAGAAAACTTGTTCTTACATGCCAAGGTACTTCCAGTGAAAGGATAAATTATATAAAATAAAACATGAATGAATAGATACTTAATTTGTTTTTAGATTGTGGAATATATGCCTGGCATTTTATTTATCAGTAATTTGACTTTATTTAAAATCTAACGTTGGTCGGATTCTTTTCTAAAAAGTGTCATCAAATTTGATTTTTATATTAGTGTATACTTCTCTCTTCTTAATGAATCTAATAGGATACATAATTTTTGTAATTATTTATTTATAGCGATGAAAAACATTTAAAGTTATTGGTTACCTGTTGATGTTATAGTTTTTTTATTTTTCGCATAAGAATTCTACATCAACTTTTAAAGCAAATGATTCAGCTTTTCCAAAATACTGTATAAAAGGGTTTATATTTTAAACATTCAATTAAATTTATCAGGTATTCTTGGACACCTTTCTTAAGTAGCAAATTTAAAAATTATTTGCTCCTTAAAATGTTGTCTCAAAGAATAATCCATTCTAAGTTTAAATTGGCTCTTTTTGTTAAATGAGAATATTTGAAGCCATGATTAGACTGGTTGATATCTCTTTATTTTTTATACTCTGGACTTAATCTAAGTGTCTTAATAGCCTTATTTTAATTGGTTTAATAGTGAATGAGAAAGGCTGGGTGTAGTGGCTCATGCCTGTAATCCCAGCTCTTGGGAGGCTGAGGTGGGCGGACCACAAGGTCAGGAGTTTGAAAGCAGCCTGACTAATATGGTGAAATCTCATCTATACTAAAAATGCAAAAATTAGCCGGGTGTGGTGGCACACGCCTGTAATATCAGCTACTCAGGAGGCTTAGGCAGGAGAATTGCTTGAACCCAGGAGGCGGAGGTTGTAGTCAGCTGAGATCTCACCACTGCACTACAGCCTGGGTGACAGAGCGAGACTCTGTCTGGAAATAAAAAAAAAAAATAGTGAATAAGGAGCTATACTGGGACTTTGGGAATTCTTTTAAAACAATTGGATACCATTCAGCAACTTTCTTGTTAATCTATTACAAGATTATGTAAATTCTGCAAATTTCATTCTTGTTTTGTCACGATTAGGCAGATTTTTTTCACTAAAATTTCTATCTTCTCTGCTTTTAATTTTACCAAAATGATCTTATAATTAAAATATTGATCCAGCTATTTACATATTTAATATGTAAGACTGAACTGAGTATATTTTTGCAGTCTGCTTGGCAGTTACAACCAGTTTTTTCTTAGGGAATAATTAAAATATTTTCTTATTCCCTCTCTCATGGTCAAGACAGTTGTAACACATTTTATTGTTTTATTAGGTTGGTGCAAAATTAATTGCAGTTTTTGCTATTTTTTTTTCCCCAATGGCAAAAACCGCAATTAATTTTGCACGAACCTAACCACTTCTAAACATAGTTGGTTTAAGACATGAAATTAATATCTCTTGACATCTTTCTTTCAATTGTTTTAGTGGAATTATAGATAAAGGATGGCCAGAATCTTTTTAAAATACAAATTTCCTTCTAAAATAAAGGCAAAAGACATTTTGTTCTCCCTCAAAACTAGACTTTGAGGATGAACTCAAGGCAGACTAAGGTCTGCAGGTCATTAGGAATAAATTAGTGGAGCCTACAAATGTGAGGATTATCTTATTTGTTTTAATATACAATGGATTCTAAATGAAGTGTTGATCCAGTTTCATAAGATCACATAATTGCTACCACTATGTCATTTCTTTGTGTTAGCGTGCCTAAGTATGTTTGTAGCCACATTGTATGGAAAAGTTAAATATAGAGGATGTGAGAAACAACTAACTTGACCACCTTATGGTGGTTCTTAGTCAGCGTTCAGTCTGTGTCTAATATTATTTTCTTATTTTTGAAGAAAAAGACATTTTTTTGTCTTTTCTTAATTTTGTATCTCATAACTTTATGAGGTATATAACAGTGAAACAGAGAAAGAGGTACCAATTTATATATATGACTTCCATGCCTATTTAGAAAAAAAATAACTGAAGTCTAATTAGGAGAGAAAAGAATAGATAATATATTGATACTAATCCAAATTTAAAAAAATTGTTACACTCTGTTTTTTTCCTTTTTTGCTAATGTATTAATAGAATTGTTTTCACTTTGGGGGCTCTCAGTTTATTAATTTGAAATGAAAATATTTTTCTATTTTTTGAGTGGTCCCTTGAATAAAATTTAATATTGAGCAATGACCAGATTTTTAAAACTAAGAGCAATTTTGGAAAAAGTGTACATGCCATAGTAGTACCAGTTTCCTTGTTCTGAGTCTAGTTCTGAGCCTCACAAAACCTTTTGGGGGCACATAGCTTTATCTTAAATTATTTATAGACTAATTCATTTTACCCCTTAACAAATATATCAGGTTTATTGGATTATCTTTATAGTTTCTTTCATGAAATGACAACTTAAAGTTGAAGATGAAAATCAAAATTATGACTTCTGTTCATACAAATGTGATTAATATAATTTATGTTTTGCTTATAAAGTAGGTTATTGTAGTTTTAGTTATTTTATAGGTAACTACACGTTTATATACATAAAGCTTTTTATATATATGTATGCATGTGAAAAGAAAAGGAAATGAGTGTATTTGTAAATATTTCTACAGTAGTATCAATAGTATTACTATAAGCAATTCTCTGCTAATATCTTAGAAGTGGCTATCTTTTAAGTCTTACTTAATAATAAACAAGACAGATTTTTAGAATCATGTGTCCTCACTGTAGACATGATGCCTTTCTTAACATGTGGAATTTCTGCCTTAGACTACCATTGCCTTAGCAAGTTTAACATTCTAATATGCAGAGATTCGAAATTGTAAATGGATCAGATAATTTTTAATTATGACCAACTTAAAATAATCCATTTGGCCAATTTGAAATATACGGTAATAATCAGGTTTGAAGTAATAATTTTCAAAAATGACTTATTGTAGACCATCACCTAAAAAATACCATATTAAAATTAATTATTAACCTATTGCTAGTTGACTTATACAATCATGGAATTGAGAGTTCATGAATATATTTCATTAATGAGCACTTATCATTAAGGAATAATACTATTTGTTACCATTTAAATAAGACTAGTAAAATTATATGAATTGTTTAGGTATGCCTATTAATTTAAGTAGGAAAAATGAACCATATTTTCTTTAAAGATGAAAAACATGATAAAATTCTTATTTACTATTATTTGTAGACATAGATAATTTGACTTTTGATTAAACTTTCAAACAAATCTGACGAGTCAAGATAGTCTAATAGGCTATTAAATTTGATGCCTTCTATTGAAATTCATGTGAGAAATGTTACTAACAATAAATTCCATATTACTATCGTGTTATTTTCTCTTATTAAGCTTTCAATCCTCATCAACATATACCTATTGATATGGCATATAGATAAAAAATTTAAATTATAGTTTAATGCTGTAGTCATAGTTATTGGTTTATGTTATCCCTGCAATATGATTTATGCTAAAAATAGATATAGAGCTGGCCACAAATTCCTGTATCATGGGACTGAAATTAAACGGATACATTTTAAAGAATATAGTTTGTTTGCAGTTTGATATAATTGTGGCTAATTTATAATAAATTTTGTTGTACTTACATTTAATATAAGATAACCAAATATTAAATTTTAAGCATTTTTACTAAATCTTTTTGAATGGGTTGTAGTCACACTTTCTCAGAAGGCAAAGTTGTTTGTATCCTTTTATAATACAGGATTTTCCTTTTCCAAAGCCTAATGCATTAAGATAATATTTTCTGTTTCCAAGCTCATCATAATTTTGTAATGTAAATGTACTAATGTGTGTGTGTGTGTGTGTTTTTTAACAGAGAGTGAAAAATAAATCATTGGAAGATGTGGTTATGTTAAATGTTGATACAAACACATTAGAATCACCATTTAGTGACTTGAACAACCTACCAAGTGATGTGGTAAGTCTGTAGGATATGTGGTGGTGAACATGTATGTTTTCTCCTGGACCTCTGAATTGCTAAGTTATTTTTTGCACTTTTAACATCTGAAATAAAAGGGTTGGGTATTTGCATGGGGTGTGAGAGGAATAAATGTAGATTCTATATTTAATATTTTCACCTTTTAGCAGTTGAGATTTTGAATGGAATATCATATTCCTTATTGTAAAAGTAGGATCATAATTAAAAAAGCTAGATGCATTCATTAGGCAGAGTTTCTTTAAACATAAGTCTCTTTATCTCATCTTAATCATTATATTACAAAGTAGGCATTTCTGTCTGCCTAGTGGCGTGTCTTGCAAAAGAATGAGAGAGGTTTTGAAGGCAAGAAGAAGAAGGGGGCCAATTATCGGCTTTTGCTTCCCTGCCACCTGCCAGCGCTTTTCCTTTTAATTAATGATCTGATGTTACTGGTCAATATAATAAGAAATGCTTGTACAGTTGGGGTCAGAAAATTCTGGCTTTGATCTTCCTCAACTTTCTGAAACATTTATTTGTTTTCTCTAAATTATTTCAGTTTTATTTTAATCTTTTCTATCCTGCTGAGGGCCACAAGAATGAAAACCTACACTGTGTGTCATTTGCTTGGGCAGAGCAAAGACTGCTTACTTAGAATTCTATTTGTAAATTAAACTGCAAACCCAGTTTGTCATAAAAGACATCTGATCCTTTTGAAATGATGAAAACTGTCTTTTGTCTGTAAAGGCTGATAAATTAAGTGCCAGTTCTCTCCTGGTCTTTGATCTTGCGGAGTGTTGTATGTGTGTGCGTGTGTCTGCAGCTTATAATGGGACATATTCTGTATGTCATGTTAAATAGTCTCCAAAAGTGCATTATTTTTGGCCTTCATATTTCTTAGTACAGTCCAAAAGTGCATTATTTTTGGCCTTCATATTTCTTAGTACAGGACAAAAATGCAAACTAGTACTGTCTCTGTATATATTTTAATGGCTACTTAAAAATATTTTTATAACATAGTTCTAAGTTAAAATAACTTTTTTTTTTTTTTAAAAAAAGCATTTATCCATTATATGGATATTAAAAAATTGGGAATAAAAATATCTTCAGAGTATATTTTTCTGTAATATTGAACTACTTTGAAATCCATAATTAAGGAGTTTGAGAAAGTGAATATAAAAATCCTAAACTCAAAAATACAATAATACCAGCCTTGATTGTCCTTCTGTCTAATGATAGGAAAAATATGATTTTAAAATCAAAATCAGATTATTTATGCCCATAATAACCTAAAATACTTGCTGAACTTGAGGCACATTAAAATTGAACTACTTTACCTTACTGTAGTAAAACTTATGCTATGAATGTACAAATCTGAACCTAGGCCAGTGAACAATTACATCTTTTCAGCTCATTGTAACTGGATTACGTCATTGTAAAATTTTTGCAAAAATAAAATCACAAATTTCATTTAAAAATCAATCAAAGTATTATTCACTGAATAGAGAAATAATTATGAGAATAGAATCCCAACTTTTAAGAATGCTTTCCTTATGTACATGTACTTCCTACTGTTAATGCCCTAAGGAGAAAGATTGTTTGTTAGAAAGAGAAGAACAAAAAGAGAAAGAAATTTAGCTTTTCTCTACAAGATATTAAAATTTTTATAGGCAGCTTCAATCATAGATGATTATTGAGAAAAATAATCTGTGAAAAAAACAAAATAAAAAGAGAAAAATAATCTGTGAAATTTTTTTTTTGATGGGTGATTCTTTTTTAAATTGAAAATTACTACTTTCCTAGTAGAATTAGTTTGATGATTAAAACATTTATTTAAATATATGGAGAAGTTAAATAATATTCACACATGTAAAGGTCTAAATATATCAAATGACAGAAGGGACCATCTTGTTATTTACTTACAAACAACAATATAAATGTAAATGAAATATTTAAAAATACAGATAAAAAGTTACAATGAAAGGTGGTGTAGATTGATGAAATATATGTTTGAAATTAAAGGACACGGACTTACAGAGAAATTTAAAGAATGGACAAATAAAAACAGCTCCGAGGTAGAGTTTGGACCATTTACTGAAAGTATGAGATGTTTAGAGTTACAATAATTTTTAAAAACTATTTTAGGTGATTTTTAGAACCCATTTCTAATGAATTTAGCTATTTCATCAATTTTATAAAATTATCTCTTACAATTTTGGAGAAAAAAGGATGAAGCATCATAATTTTTAGAAGCTACCCTGCCTCCACTAGACAGGACAGTTGTAAATGTTTTAAATGAGATATGTTAAAATCACAAATGATCTTACTAAAATTTTTTGTGTGTAATTTAAATTGATAAAATATACTTGAAACCTAAAAAATGTTACTATTAGTTTTGTTTATTTAATAGGTTAACTGAGATTTAAATGGGGGGGCCTCTTAAAATCATTCACTAAAGCATTTAAATTATGCTTACAGGCTAGCTGACTTTCTATGCATGTGCACTCTATTATTGTGTCAGATTGACCAGTGGTCTTGGCTGTTCAAAGGTCAGTGGTCACAGTTGTCCTGAATTACTAGTTCTTTTTTCCTGTGGACCCTCTGCTGTGTTGCATGCTGTAATCTTCTTAATGGCTTCATTCCAATATTCACACATAATATTTTAGATTTATTGACTGTTAGAAATACTACCATGCCAGTAGCAGTTCCGCTACTCTTAAGGTATTTAAAATTGGAAAAATAAATCAGGGCAAAGCTTTCAGGATTCCTTTGTTTTCGTTAAGGGAGGGGGGAAAACCTCTTTTCCTGTCTCCTGACAAGAACACTTGTTTTTCGATTTCATCATTTCACTATAGATTTGGATCATTAAAAGAAAAAAACAAATATTTTATTGGGAGTGATTTTGACAATATTGATTATTACATGGAATAACTTTTAAAGGCAGTAGATCCAATAAGATATGCTCTTGTAGTTTTTGTCTATGAATATATTTTGACTTTTTTTTTTAGTGGCTGTGCCAGATAGACACCTTCAAACATCTGCAGTGTAGTTTGAATGTTTTGAAATAAAAAAAGTAAATGTTAGGACTCAGCCAAAGTTGGTGTTATTGTGGTATGTTTTTAAGGGTGAAAAAAAGAACCAATTGAATTAAATATAATGTTTGAAATCTCAAATGAATTGATTTTAATTTATGAAAATGCAGTATTAAAACCTCCTATTCCAAATACATATATAATTTAGTTTTAATTACATAATAATTTAAAATTGTTTCTGAGATATTCCTGCTCCTTTTAATTTTTATCATCATTAACATTTTAAAAATCAATTTGGAGGTTGTTACTATTTCAAATATAAATAGGATTACCCTCTTACTAGGAAATCAAGCTAATAATTAGAAATAGAAGATTTAGGAATTCTCTTCTCATATGAATATTAAATTAAACAATTATAAATTCTCATTGATGAAAGCACATTAGAATTGACGTCTGAAAAAGTTACATGTATCAGAATATTCATTACAACAGGCAAGTTTTTTGACCAGTATTGCTTAACTATCTCTAATAATTTAAACTCATTAGATTGTAAGAATAGTAACAATGTCGATAGATCAATATGCTATTCCTATTTTAGATAAGAAAATCAAGGCACAGAAAGTATACTGCTAATTTTATATCTCGAGATTTAGTTCGTAGAGGATGATCCTCAGGCCTGTGTCCCAAAGAGTTGATCGTTGTCCCTTTCATATAAATGTGATATACAATGTAATGAATAACTCATTTAAAATATAGAAGCTTATTTGCCATTTAATCTTGTTAAAGAAATACCAGTTTGATCCATTTGATTTAAATTGGGATTTTCAGCACTGTTTTTAAAACTTCATTTTCATCTTGAATGTAATACTATTGGAAATAATTTTCTGTTTTCTACTATAAGGGTATAGAGAAAATATGGTACACTTAAGAGTTATTGTACAAGTCACTGTAGACCACTGTATGTTATATTATAGCTATATTTGGTATGAAGCATATTTAATTACAAAAACATTAAAAAGACCTTATAATGATGCTATCTAAAATATATATATTATAGTGAAGCTTTTAGGAATCATAAGAAAGAGGGCATTAAATGGTTTTATTGTGGAAAAAAAAAAAAGGAAAGACACAAATTGCTCTGAGTCACCAAAAATTAAAAGCATACAAGAACTAGAGAAAACCTTTAAAACTCTGCTATCAAACAAGATTTTTGAATATCTACATTCAAGTGAATTTATTCATTTGAGGATAAGTTGTAAAGAATTAGTTTTTTCAGAGAATTTTATAATAAACTTTGCAGAAAAATATTAAATTATATAAGCAAATTAAACTTAAAACTACACAGATTGTCAATGGATATGTTTAATTCATTGAATATTTTCTATAATCAAACGTGAAGGTTTAACATGTTAAATTGTCATAATATATGTTATAAAGAAAAAAAAGGCCCCAGAGAATATTATATTAGTTCCAGGTTTGCCACAGTTCTGCTATAATCCTTATAATGTTTAATGGTAAATGAAGTCCCTAACAAATTTCTAGAGTGGTCAGGTTAGAAAGATTCATTCAGCTTCTAGAGTAATTTGGAGAGCATTTATTACTTCAGGAGAAAAATATTGCTTTTAGTTTGCCCTTGGAAAAGTATAGTCATACTTTTTCTTCTCTCAATCCCCAATTGTTAGAATTCAGGCATCTAGTTGTACCTTGTTGCCACCACACAGCCTCGGTGCAGTGCTTTGTAAATAGGCATTCAATAAGTGATTGCCGAAAGGAAATAGAATTGCACTTCTTTTATCTTTTGTAATAGAAGCTTGCTTTTAAATTCTCTGTTTACAGTTACCTCCTAGAACATTTTATGAGGATATTTCCATTTGACTTTAATAATAATGAAAATGAGAAATCTGGAAGCATATGTAAAACACACTTTTTAAACTATGAGTATAACCTTTTATTTCCTGTATTTGGAAAAAG